TTTTTTTTTTTTTTTTTTTTTTTTTTTTGCAACAGTCTCACATAGCCTAGGCTGGTATCAAACTTCATGCCTGCCTAGAGTGATCTTGAACTTATTATCCTCCGGCCTCTGCCACCTGAGTGCTAAGACTATAGGCATGCTTCACCACGCCCACTTTTCATGGTGCTGGGCATTAAGCCAGGGTTCCATAGATGCTGGGTAAGCATCTTATCACTGAGTTGTGTTCCTAGCTCCCACCCCTTCCCCTTTTTGTCAGGGTTTCACTATGTACCCCAGGCTGGCTGCAAGCATACCCTGATCCTCCTGCCTCAGTTTCCCAAGTACTGGGAATCCAAGCACGTGCCGCCATACCCAGCTTCCGTTGTGATTTGCGCTGCTGGGAGTGTTAGCTTATGCTGCTGTCCCTATTGCAAGTCTGGCAGTTTTGTAAAATGTAGCTTGGATATATTTCTACTTCTACTTTTACCTTTTACTAGGATTTTATATATCTTTTTCCACATTTTTTTCTTAGAATTCAGATTCCCTTTCACTTACAGTCTTTGAATGTATGTTTCATAAAGGATCAAAGTACCACAAATTGGGTATCACTACCTCATATTTTTCAGCTTTCATTTTCTTAAGTTTAGCTTTTTTAGGCTATAAAATGACTGCATCCGATGTATTAATGGTTTTAGATTTAAAATTCTATTTTGTACTTATTATAAATGAAGATCTTGTTTAAATGCTTTAATTTGAATATCGATCCATTTATGCTAGAAATACATACTACTATCTCCAGTTATGTTTTAAGTATTTACGTATTAACACATTAATATATATATTACATACACTCACCTGGGCAAAGTAGCTCTTGCATAATCACCATGCTCTGGAGGCTTAGGTAGAAGGATTCAAGTTCAAGGCCTGCTTTAGCTTAATGGTGAAACCCTATCTCCAAAAATAGAGAGAGAGAAATGTATAGAGATGACTATACACACATATATGCACAGTATCTTTGTATAGACCTGCAGGATACAATGTCAAAAAGGATGAAATCAACAGATATCAGAACACTGTCCCCTTTATTTTTTTAGCACACTTTGAGAGAGCTTAGGAATTTTAGCAAATGTTTACAACGACCTCCCTAAGAAAAGATACCACTAGTCCATTGTTGCTAAAACTTGAACAGTCATCAAAGGAAATTTCTGGATGGCCTGTCCGCTCAGATTCCGGACTTGTACCTGCCCAAGTGTGCTGATGCGGGAAGTGTGGTCAGGTGTCAACGTGGCAGTGTTCTAGCACACTGTCCACTGTGCGATTACACTTTGTTCCTGGTCCTTGGTCAGTGAGTTACATTTATGTTGTAAATGTTACATGTGTTTAGCCAGTGAGTAGAACCGTCATTGGTAGGGCATTTCAGGAACGTGCATTCATTGTGGACAGTTGTGTCCCTGAAGGTCTTGGTTGTGACGTCCTTAGTTTCTAAATAGTCTCATTGTGGCAGCATGGTTAGGGAAGAGTCAGACTATTTACATATTTATGCCAGATACATGATGTTGACCTGACAAGTATGTATTTGACAACTGTTTGATTATTAACTGTTCACTTCATTGAACACCTGTATCACATTAGCTTCTGTTTGTTTTATAGTTAATTGAATCTCAACCATCTTTCACAGCTTGTTCATTCTCTTCCTTAGGATACTTTGTATCTCCATGTTTCCCCTTTCCTTCACTAGAGGAAAGAGAGCAGTGATTCAGTCCTAGCAAAGAAATGAAGAACTAAAGCCCCAAGTCTGAGGTTTTGAAAGAGATTAGTGTTTTCTTGAGTGTTCTCTATCTATATCTTAATTAATAATAAAACTTTTCAAAATACCTTTGAGTTCGCTACTAAAACTTCAATCTTTAGTTTTGTTTTCATACGTAAGTGAAGAGGTTGAAACTAAATGGTAAGACGCCAGACGAAATTTTTATAAGAAGTAATGCTATCTTAAATTGCCTTAATTATTGTTTTTCTTCAAATAGACATTAACTGCCGTCGGTTTTACTTTCTCATTTTAAATCATTCTACAGCACTATGCACCATGTTTGAAATCAAATATTTGTCTAACAGCTGCCATCACCTAGTCCTCATATGCCACCCCATTGCTTCTAAGGGGAAACAAATGAGAGAAAAATGATTTTTACATGTTAAGTTAGTTTACTCTGTAGGATCCAGAATCCTGGTAGCGTGTCTCCAGCCCACGCTTGATTGGCTTCTGAGCTTACCTCTGTGGAAGCCTGACCAAGCCTGAGGGCATCCTTCCTCCCTGCACTCTGTCCTCTCTTGGGCTCTTTTATTTTCTGCCTTCCATCCTTACTATCTAATTGTGTAAATTAGAAATATGGCCGGGCGGTGGTAGCGCACGCCTTTAATCCTAGCACTGGGGAGGAGGGGTGGGCAGAGGCAGGCGGTTCTCTGTGAGTTCGAGGCCAGCCTGGGCTACAGAGTGACTTCCAGGAAAGGCGCAAAGCTACACAGAGAAACCCTGTCTGGAAAAAGAAAAAGAAAAAAAGCAAAGAAATATTTCATCTTTTTAAACTTCTGACCTCCCTCAAAAATGTATTAGTCACCAGTTTCCAAACAGTTGTGTTTCTTAGTACTGTGTCAGTCCAAGTATCTCACTAGTTTCAAACGGGAGGGTTTCTTCAGGTGTGGTTTGGACACTTGCTGTGTGTCTAAGTTGTCTTTCCACCGTTAGTTTGACCCCTTCCTTCGCTGCTTTTTTCCATATTGACAAGATCTTTTAAAGGTGTAAATTTAATCATTATTACCAATTTTTTTCTTACAAGAAATGATAGAGTGGCAAATGAGGATTAGGTGATTAACAATAAAAGTAAAATCTGGAGCCAGTTTTAGCAGAAGAATGCATGGACCGTCCAAAGTGAAAAGCTGAAGTCTGGCTTTCCTCGTGGTTAGATCCAGAGCCCCAGTATCTTCAGGTCTCTAACTCAAAAATTTTGTGTCCTTAGTTTTCCACATGCTGGGATTACTGCCATAGACCCCCATGCCCTAAAGTCTGCACTTTCCCTCTTTATTCTTTGTCTCTGCAGTCAGCTTGTCCCATAACTCCTGGAGGAGTATGGGCAGCGTTACTGTGTTAGCTCTAACCTGGGAGTGTAATTCACAGAAAAGGGTCTACGAAGGGCTCAGATTTACCTTGCCCCTGGGAGCCCGGGTTCCCTCAGCCTCAGCAGCTCCTGTGCCACCGCCTCCAGCCATGCCAGTCTGGTGCTCACAAACACCTGGGTTGTCTGCATTCTCCACGCTGGGACTCCATCATGGCAGAAGGCACACACAGACCCCCGCCAATCACCATGGCTCTCTGTGCTCCTGCTGCCAGCAGCTCTACATGTCGTCTGCTGCTGCTGCTGCTGCTGCTGCTGCTGCTGCTGCTGCCGCCGCCCATGGCGGCTTCTGAAGCAGCTGCTTTCTAGTTCTCTTCTGCATCCAAGGTCCCATGCTCAGGGAAACCAAGGGCACACCTGCTTTACCCTAAGTTACTTTCTTTTAAGCCTGCATTTCTCAGACTTCCCAAGACCTTTATGACTTACTTATATTACACCTTTAGACCTAACTTAGGCCTGCATCCTCAGCCTACCTAGATCATTCACTCAGACTCATGCCATCACACATTCAAACTCCCACAACACACCCAGACGTTCACACTTTCTAACTACTTTTTCAGACCTAAAAGAAAAATCACAAACTCAAACCTTCACAACGTAGATACTTGTCGCAGCCCTGACTTTTCACTCCTCTGGCTTTTAAAATACCTTTAAACAGCTGTCTACTATTACCCTGCTCTATATATACAATTTACCCCCGAGTTAATCATCATGCTTCTTCTTTAATCTGAGCATTCTGTTCACTTGCGGTGTCCTTGACTGGATCCCCTGTATTCAGGTCCACTGTTCAGGCCCCACGTTTCAGATCCCACCAGACCTGTCAAACAGTCCTGAATGGGGGAGTGAAGATTGAGAAAAAACAGATAGGAAAAAGACATAAAAGACAGAGACACAGAATAGGTTCGGGAGGGCTCTCAGTACCATAGCAGCCCAAGTTTATTTCTCAGTCTTTTTATACCCAAAGCAAGAAGAGCAAAAGACCGTATCATGGATCAAGGAACAAACAAGCATAAACACCTTAATTCTCAAAACATCTAGTAACCATGTCTTTGGCCAAACATCCTGTTATATGGCCTTGAAGAGCAATATATCTAGTAACTATGCCTTTGAGCAAACATCCTATTATCCAGCTATAAAGAGCAAAGACAAGCTTAAACTCTTGAGTCAAGATGGAATCAAGCCACAAGCTGGAGTCTCTGGGCTCCCACAGTTAAGTGCACTGGCTACTCTTCCAGAGTTTCTGAGTTCAATTCCCAGCAACCACATGGTGGCTCACAACCATGTATAGTGGGATCTGATGCCCTTGTCCTTTTTAATGTCATACATGCAGATAAAGCACTCACATATATTAAATAAATAAATCTTTAAGGAAAGAAAAAAGATAACAGTAGGATGACCAGAACAGTTTTCAAAAGTAAGGATAAACTTGAGGGCTGGAGAGATGGCTCAGTAGTTAAGACTGCACACTGCTCTCCCTGGGGACCTGAGTTCTGTTCCCAGTGCCCACATCTCATTACTCACAACTGCCTGTAAACCCAGGTTTGGGGGGATCCAATGCCCTCTTTTGGCCTCTGCAAATACCTGCAGACACATGACATACAAGCACATTTGTGAACACACATGTACTTGAACAAAAAAATAAACGAACATATACTAATTTCAAGATTTTCTTTTGTTTGTTTTGTTTTGTTTCAAGACAGGGTTTCTCTGTTTAACAGCCCCGGCTATCCTGGAACTAACTTTGTAGAACAGGCTGGCCTCAAACTCCCAAGGTCCACTTGCCTCTGCTTCTCAGAGGTGTGCACCACCACGCCCAGCTCAAGATTTTCTTGTAAAGCTACAGCAATCACGTTAAGGTAGTACTGTAAGAACAGTTATATTAATGGAGAAGAGTAAATATATGTAAACAATTGATTTTCGGGAAAGGTATCAAGTTCAGTGGGGGAAGATAAGTTAACACATAGTACTAGAGCAACTGAATATCTGCATTTTAAAAGATTAGCACTGGACATCGGTGGTGGACACCTTTAACTCCAGCACTCAGGAGACAGAGGCAGGCAGATCTCTGTGCGTTTGAGGCTTGGTCTACAGAATGAGTTCCAGGGCAGTCAGACAGGCTCCAAAGCTACACAGAGAAACCCTGTCTCAAAACAAACAACAACAACAACAAAAAATTAGCACTGGAGCTGTGTGGGGTCCCCTTTTTCTTCATGGTCCATTGGCCACCAGTCCATGAGGGTAAAGGGGCAGAAGCAACAACAGAAAGCTTTGTACACGGCCTGTGAACACATCAGAGATAGCCCTCCAGGAGACAGCTTCAGTGAGTCAGCTCAACTTTATTCCAGAGCGAGGGGGAGATTTATAGGATGGGGACAGTGGCTGTGGGATGACCTAATTTGCATTAAGCAGCACACACTGATCATAAGGCTCCTAGTACAAGTCTTAGGTCCTATCATAAAGCTCCTAGCACAATGTCTAATTACCATACGGGCAGCAGGGGAAAAGCTGCAGGGAAGAGATTAAGTCAGGTATCAGGGCCTAGAGATGGGTCTCCCAGTAAGGTCCAGTGGAGAACAGGGTGCCTTCTGCTGCTGGGTGGGGAGGGGGAATCCTCCATGTTGTTGATCTCAGAGCCGCTAGGTCATGGTAGACTGCAACCTCCATCCAGCAGGGCTTCCCAGCAGAGCTGGGCTGTAGCTCAGTTACAATATGTTTAGTGTACATGATCATGCTTCTGAGTTTAGTCCCCAACACAGCCACACAAATTAGTGTGCCATATGTAAAGAGGAATATGATCTGCATCATAGATGTAAGGGAAAAAATTATGTCCAGCTAAGCATATTTCTTAGGACTCAAAATGCTTTAATCTGAAAAAAAAATTAGTGAGATGGGCCTTAACAAAATTAATAACATCTTTAAAAGACATTAAGAGCCGGGCGGTGGTGGTGCACGCCTTTAATCCCAGCACTCGGGAGGCAGAGCCAGGCGGATCTCTGAGTTCGAGGCCAGCCTGGGCTACCAAGTGAGTTCCAGGAAAGGCGCAAAGCTACACAGAGAAACCCTGTCTCGAAAAACCAAAAAAAAAGAAAAAAAGAAAAAAGAAAAGAAAAAAAAAGACATTAAGAAATTATATAGACAAATCCAAGATGGTTAAACAGTTACCAGTTATAGAATGGGTGTTCCTGAGGCCCTAAAGTTAGCACACAGCACATCATTTAGTTAATTTGAATGTATATAATGCATGGATAGTACTCTTACAAGTGAATATGGACAAAAGCTTGAAAAAGTTTTCCACACCATTATTCAGTAGGGAAATACATATTCTATAATAATTCCACGTGGATGTAAACATGTGTAAAAGATTAAGGACTGGAGAGGGTTCAGTGGGTAAGAACACTTGCTGCCCAAGCATGAGAGCCTCAGCTCAAGAGAGAGACCTTGACAATGGATACATGCCTTCAATCCCATTGCTGTCGGAGGCCGGGGAAGGGAGGCTCTCTTGGGTAAAAGTGGTCACATCAGTATGCTGATGTAGACAGATCCTTTCAGGTACACACTCAAGAATGGTATAGATGTGTCTTTTGTTTGTTTTTGTTTTTCCAAGACAGGCTTTCTCTGTGTAACAGTCCCGGCTGTCCTGGAACTCGCTTTGTAGACCAGGCTGGCCTCAAGTTCAGAGATTGGCTTGCCTCTGCCTCCTGAGTGCT